TGAATGGATTCTAAATATACTTGAGCATGTTCTCTCATCCCTAATTTTAATAGCTGCCAGTGTCTGGATTCAGAACTATCCAAGGAGCTGTGGCTTGAACACTCAGTAGCCTCCAAGATCTATATTAGTACAAACTGCAATTAACTCTACCAAAATTTAATGAGGTATTTTATTAATTAAAATGCAGGTATACTCTGAAAAAAGTAACATTCTGTCAAAATGTCATCGTGGGCTCCTCTGTCTTTCAGTGATTTCCACAACAAATGTATTCATTTTACAGATACTTTTTTTTCTAACTTCTAGCTGTGTAATCTCATCATAGAGCCTGAAAGTCAAGATGGGCTCTTTCTGACACACACATGAATCTTCAGTGAATCTGCAGTTTTAATTTAATTAGAAATCCTTTGATTGAAACCAGGACACACACTTGTAGCTGCATTTTCTGCCTATCCTATGCTTCTAGCAATAAAAAGTGGCAAAAGTATATATTAATCAGTAAAGTTAAGAGTAGAGTCTCAATACTCACAAATAGTAGGTATTTTGAGTAAGGTGTTGTTTTCAATATACTGTCCTTTCAGAGTAGAACCATACTTTGTGATTTCACTATGTGACCTTATGGTAAAATTTGACTTAGGATAAATTTTTCAAAAGTGTTTAAGTGACTTAGGCTCCTAAGTACCATTTTCATGAGATCTATTGACTTCTAATTAGACTTAGGCTCCTTTATCATTTAGATGCTTTTGAAAATTTTACCCTTAATCCTACTACTATAATACTGGCCAACTTTTTAGGAGATTTGATAGAGTACTTTGTATAACTTAAAAAAATAATAATTTCCATGCACCAGCCTGGAAGCAGGAAAAGGTGAAAATTTCACAAGAAATCATTCTTTTGTGATTTCTGGAACAATGTCTAGCTCAGTAAGTAGCTGAGCACTACAATGATGGGTACTTTTATAGAACTACCTCAAACAGACAAGAGAACATTGCAGACTCAAGGGGTTTGGATGAGTTACAATTAATCATGTGGACTTCTGAGTGCCTACCTGAACTGAACCTCCAAACATGCCGTGGTTTCTCATTCACTGCTCTTAAAAGGTTCTTTATTGACAGACTTGGATACTGAAATCCGCTTTTTATCAACAGTCCTGGGAGGAGACACAGAAAGCAGCTGTGCAACATTGACGTAAATTGTGTCCCAGATACCCCAGTGGTGGTTGGGGTTCGTGAAGCTACAGAGTCCTACAAGAGCCACAGTGGGCACTGTCATATTGTAAGAATTGCCCCTTCCTCTGCCACTGATTGGCCTGTGGAAGGAAAGGGTGGAGGAGAAGCAACTGGGAGTGTCAAAAGGGAAAGCAGAGGATCATCAGGCAAGGATGCCGAACACCTATCTTCTCTGCAGGAAGCTCCTTTGGCAGCCACTGACTTCTTTTAAAGCTTCCTGCCCGCCTAAACTGTCTTCCCACTACACCTCCTAAAACCAGTGGTGGCTCTGGGAACAGCCGTACACAGCAGCACATGTGAAGAGGCTATCCACCCAGGGGAGTAGCAGAAGTTGGGGGAAGCCTTTTTTAATCTACAGCCAGTGTAAGTGGGTTGAGAAACCAAGGGACCATTAAGGAGAGGGCAGAGCCATCAAGGACCTGGGAATGGTAGCAGTAAAGAGAAGAGGCAGTGTTGTTAGAGGTATAGGGGGAAAAGGCAGAATGGGTTAGGATGGGAACTTTTGATGAGTGATGAAAAGAGTAGAGCATGGAAAGAGGGGATTTCAAGTTGTGTAGGAAGGGGGACATTACATTTAGTGCTTGGGGACATATAAACAGCATTACATCCCTGAGTGCAAGCTTCCCCTCAGCACCTCTAATGTGCTTCAATTCTGATCTGGATGCACCACTTTCAAGTACAAGAAGAGTTCAGTCTCCATACCCATTCCATCTTTAGCCTGTCTGCTGAGACTTCCAATGTGGTTGCCAATTGTGAAGTGGGCCTTTGTCTACACTGGCAACTGGAGTGAGGCCACCAAACTCAATTTATATAGGATGCAGTAAAGAGGACAGATGGTAACATCTTTTGCTCTCTTCCAACCTGGATTGGATTCAAACCAGTGAGCAGTGTCTCCAGATCCCCTTTCCAGTTCTTGTGTCAGCCAGTCCCTGCCTACCAGTTGTGTTAATGTACACCAGCTGAGTGGAAATGCCATTTAAATGCCAGTTTTGCAGTAGTTTATCTAAATTAATTCTCTTATGAGAATTAACCAGATCTCACTCAAACGTGACTCATGAATACAGACTCCTGATCTCGCTCCAACCCTGTACATTCTTTTTCCATCCCCGTACAAATCCTCTTTCAACTGCTGTCTCAAACTTGGCAGCTCTGTAGTAAATAGTGTTGCATTTTTAGTCACTGTTTATGAAACTATAAGGATTACATGGTGTGGGAAGTGAGGGGGGTGGAAAGGGGAGTGCACACATGGAAAAATAATTTTCTTGTTGACATGTGGAAATGCCTGCAGAAGCTTAGACCAAGCAATACTTTTTTTCATCTAAGTTGCACAAAATTTAGCCTCACTGGGGAATTTTGAGAACTAGCCTCTAATTCTTTTAAGATCGTTCACATGCTGGGATGAAATTCTCCATCACTGGCTTGTCATATCCTTCAGCAATGGAATGTAAAATTGGAAAACAGCTCAGTTGGATGGCAGACTCAACCTATAGGACATTTTTTTCAGCCCTGTTTTTGCAAATATGCCATTTTGCTGCATAAGTAAACATCAGTGTTGATTGAAAGAAACTGTTGGAATTTCAAAATCTTTTTAATCTCAAAAGCTGTGTGGTTTTGTCAATGAAAATAGAGGAGGTTTATAGAAAGAGTATCAATTCTTTGAAACTGATAAATCCTTCCAGTTTAGGTATACTCTGCAAAATTATTCTAAAACTGTATTATGATGTTTCTTGTTTATTACCTTTGAATAATTCAGTATCAAGTTCAGTCAGTTTGAAATTTTTGTCTAGCTGCTGGCCTTGAAAGTGAAACTGGATTCTTTCTGGTTCATACATCATCACCAGCAATAAGAATTCTTCAGTTAGATTCTATTCTATTGAATGGTTAGCTTAATTCTGTCTCACACTCCTGGAGCTGAGTTGGTTCTGCAATGCTGACAAGAATAAATTATAATAAAAGCATATTGTATTATTGTTCTACATCATATAGCACCATACTATTATCACATTCATTACCATAGTACCTAGGAGCCGCAGTTATGGCACATAAGGAGCAGGACACCATTGTGCTAGGCACTGGACAAACACAGAACAAAAAGATACCCCCTTCCCCAAAGATCTTATAATCCAAATATAAAACAAGAAATAACAGATGGCTACAGACAGATGGAGAACAGTGAGACATATTGGTCAATGCCATAGGCAGTGGTATGCATTATGTGTATCAAAAAAAATAATGAGGTTTCCGCCCTGAGAATTTTACAATTTATATTCAACATATGACGACATGGGAGGGTAAAAGGATATGTGGGAGGAGGAGGGCTAGAATGAATAGATATTTTATATACTTGTCATCGTTCCAATATTCAGATACAGAAGTAGAGAGGGAACCAATGGAGACTTTCAGAAGGGGATGACACTGCTGGAGTGGCAGGTAAAGAATATGATTTTAGAAGCCGCATGCTGCATAGATTTAAATGGTGTGGTGTGTTTTGAGGTTGCAGCAGTGAAGATGACCGATTAGGGCAGTAGGCATGGAGACAAGGGCAGATTTTGGCCATGTTATAAAGGAAGACATAGCAAGATTTAGCAATAGACAGTATAGAAAGAAAAGGAGAGATTGAGGTCAAATGACAACAAAGATGTGAACCTGGATGACAAGAATAGTGAAATTATTGATGGTGATTGAAGAGGAAGAGAGAAGTGAGGATTTCCAGAAGACACTTTATGTTCGCCATGTTTGGTTTGACATTTTACGGAGATGCAATAGAAAGTAGGTCACAGATGAGGAAACTAACAGAAAAAGGCAGGGATGTAGAATAGATAAGGGAGTCTTAGCGTAGAGGTGGTGGTTGAAATCATGATAGTGGAAAAGGATGCTGAAGAACAGGGAGAAGAGAAGACAACCAAAGTTAGAGTCTTGAGCCATGTCACTTGTCCAACCGTGAGACAGTAGTGACCTTGGTGAGAGCAATCTTGATGGATTGCTTAGAGCAGAAGCTACAGTGCCGATTACAGACTATTAGATTTTTGTCATTCAAATCAGCAGATATGACTCTGGATACACACATGGTGTAGATCTCTTGAATACCAGGTGCCATTTGTAAATCACTTTTCTGACCACAGCTGCACTTCAAGGTTCTGTTTATGCAATTGTAGACTGTGCTGTGTACTCTAGTTTTATTACCAAGGAGAGGATGATGGTGAGGAATAAATACAATATAGAGCTCTGAAATGCACATCTTTAAAGTATCTTTTGTTTTTAACAGAAGTTTGTTCCTTTTTCAGTGTTCTTTCACCCAGAGGAAATCCTTATACTGCATTTAACATCAGTGAAAATTAGTTCATGTGCAAAACATATTTGTTCATATGTACCTTTATTAATAATGAGTGCTTTCCTTTGTCATTTGTTACAGCTTTTTCATTCATCCACCACTTTTAGTATTTCACATCCACACCCCCTACCTGATTGATTTTCTGCATGGTTTATATATATAATTTGGTTTTCCACTTGTTCATGTGGTAACTGATTTTGCACCAAACTTGAAAATAGCCAATTGGGGAAAAATCCAAATAAAAATGGAATTTTCAGACTCGCTTGGATTAATTAAACCTGTATCTTAAACTGTTTTAAAAATGAATTCTGGACCTCTAGATTTTGGAGTAGCTTAAATACATCCTAAATTTATTTAATTCATGTCGGTGCTCATCTAAGCAAACTTTACTCACTGAAAAGAACTCCATTGAAACCATGTGTTCTTTTCTTTTTGAACTACAGCTCACCACAGCCACCTTGGATGGCAAACTCCAGTTGTTTCTATCTTGATGCTTGCCAGCCTGTGGAATGCTGGCCCTGGTGCTCTGGAAATAACAGCTTGCTGAGAGAAAGGAGACTGGTAACTGTGCAAGCCGCAAAATATTCCTTTTTAAATTACAGTTGTAGAAATAATGTCACTTACATTGGAAAAATAAGGACAAGATACAGTATGGTACAATTGTACTCATTCAGGCCTCAGTACAGCAAAGGCTCAAGGATTGATGTCAATGGGGCACTCACATGCTTAAAGGTAGGCATGTGCTGCAGTGCTTGGCTGTATTGGAGTTTCTTACCTGTAGATTGGTGACACAGTTAAAATAGAAAGTGGTCCAGTTTTAAAGCGAAAATTTCTGCCTATAACTAAAGACTTGAAATGAGTTCAAGTTCCTCATTCTTCATGAAATGACATTAGGAGTCATGTTGGTCCCTTGTTTATATCTATGCAACTCCCATGAGGTTAATGGAAGTAACTTGAGTATAGCAGAATTTGGTCCTCATTACTGAGACAATCTGATTCATATCCATTTTATTGCATTCTGTTATCTCTTGTACACCATTCTGTTAAGTTGTTAGGGATGGGGAAAAGACTTTTATTTTAAAGGCCTTGTCTTCACAAAGCTAACTTGACATTTTAGTTTGGTAATTTACTTATGTTTAGTTTTACTGTGACAGTAGGGGTGTGCCCCATTTCTAGAAATAGAAAATTTGAAAAGCATTGAAGTAGAAAATTAGTTCTGGGAGAAAGCTTTTGGGGTTTTATTTTATTTTTATTTTTTTTGTACAATTTCTAGCTATGTTTGCTCTAATCTTTGAAAATTCTGATGTTGGATATTGTTTTGAATAATAAACTGGTGTTCGAATCATTCATCATCTCTGTCTGTTTAAAAATGGGGAACATCTAAGACTGTGGGCCTATGTTTATCTGACCTTTGTGATGCTGAGAAAACATTACCCTTTTATATGGACTGTGGTGCCAAGCCAACCAAACTTACCAGGACAAAGGATCATTAAGTCTTATAAAACTCCTTTACTCTTGCCAGCTCAATTGTCTTTAGCTGGCCAATTACATACAGCTGAACTTGCTTCTCAGACCTTTTCCTATGGGGCCACAAGGGAAAAAACTGGGATTTGTACACTGCCTACACAGATTAATAAAACTCAGCAATGTGACAGATGCGCCTTTTTACAGTAAGCTTTTTCAATACCATAAGATAATTGAATTTAAAAAGTGGATGATACCCCCTTGGTTATATGCACAACACTTATGTTCATTTAGTATAAGAAGGTTGTCAAGTATCAGAGGGGTAGCCGTGTTAGTCTGAATCTGTAAAAAGCAATAGAGGGTCCTGTTCACACCTCAACTGCTAGCAGAGCACCTCACCCTCCCTGATTGAACTAACCTCGTTATCTCCACACTGATATATACCTGCCTCTGGAGATTTCCATTACTTGCATCTGAAGAAGTGAGGTTCTTACCCATGAAAGCTTATGCTCCCAGTACTTCTGTTAGTCTCAAAGGTGCCACAGGACCCTCTGTTGCTTTTTATAAGAAGGTTGATGTTTTAGTTACACAAAAGTCAAGATTCATCTAAGGTTTCTAGATTCCATTAATTCTGTGCTCTTGCATATAAGCTTTAGCTGCTTCTTGCAGAGCTAAGCCATACACTTACTGTGTGCTAGATTCTGACACCCTTACTCTCTCAAGTAGTCTCACCGAAGTCAACAGGACTGCTGTGGAATAAAGTGCTATTCATCATGATGAATAGCATCAGAATTGGTCCCCATGTTATCTCACATTATATGTGCAATAGTATATTGTAGGCTGCTGGACCTGATCACCAGCCTAGGTCAAACAATCGGCCACCCCCAATTCCATTTGTATCCCTTTCCTTGGAGCTCAGTTTGTTTTTTAACACACAAATACAAGGAAACGTGGAACAATAAGAAGAAGCAACAGTCCTGTTCTTGACAGAAATTGTGGGGCCCACTGGTAGCTTAAGGGGCTCGTCCTCCGCCAGCTTGTCCTCTTGCAGCCTTCTGCTGCAGCCACAGGAGAATGTACTCTCAGCTCTCTCTGGAGCTAGGGACCTCACTTATATCCTCCAGCTAGGAATCAGACCCAATCACTAGATACTTTCCAGCTGAGTTGGCTGATTCCCAGCACCTGGCTGTTGGGCTTCTCTCTAGAACAGTGCTGGCTGACCCCTGGACCTAAAAGTGACAGACAGCCCTGTTATATACGTAATGACGTGTACAGTGGGCTAGATTCGCTCCAGGGTTTACCAAAGATGACATTAACCAAGGTTCTAGCTGTGGAAACTCCAGGAGGGGATGAAATTCCATTGGCACAAAGCAGCTACAATCTCCTTTCTACTGGAGGAGCCATAGCTTGTCCGTACAGCTCAGAAGGTTGGTGCTTCTATCTAGGAAGAGTGCGTAGTCAGGGCAGGCGAGGAGTGCTCTAATTCAGTGGCTTCTGCAGGTAGAACTTCTTCAAAGTTCTGTTGCTACTTAAAACTGACTCACATAGCAAATACTGTTAGAGTGGTCTTCTTCATTACCTAGAATAAATCTCCTTGATGTGCAAGGATCTTCAATGACACAGAGCCTTCCTGCACTAACTTTAGTGAATCCAGCATAGGACATATAAAAGGATTACCAAAAATTTTCAATATAGGCAAAGCAATTATTTTTCCCCAGCCTTGTTCTCAGAAATGGTTGAACTATTTTGGCTGAAATTTACTAAAAAATACCTCAGCCTGAGGCAGGCGTCCAGCATGCAAAATGCCAGCCCACACAGTCGAAGTTTGGTAAATTTATAAACACCTGAAAATAAGATCTGTATAATACGATGTATCAGTCAACTTTAATAATAGGCAGCACTGGCAAACTATCCCATGAGTGGGAATATGCAGAAGACACGCAAAGAAGAAATGAAGGTTACTTACCTGTAATTGGAGTTCTTTGACGGGGACTCTGCATACTCATGCTCCCTGCCCTCCTAGCCTGCTCCTTGCCGAGTCCTGATTTAGTAGTTTGATAATCCACTTTAGCAGTTGGAAGGACCTGACCAGTGGTGCCAACTCCCCTTCTATGGCCATGTCCCTTGAGCATGCTCAAGCACTGTGGCAGGAGGGAAGGAGAGGGGTAAGGTGCTCCTAAGGGGCACTACTACTAGAAGATTCCACCGTCCTGCTGCACCCAGTTGGCACCCGCCATGAGTGTGAGTATGCAGAGTCCATCTCAAAGAACTCCAGTTACAAGTAAGTAACCTTCATTTTTCCAGCCCAGCAAGTTCTGCTTAATGCCACAGAGGTCCTCTGTTGTTCAGCATTTTTTACATACTTTGGTCCTGGTCTTGCAATGGGATCCACATGGGCAGATCCTTCTTCCTGAATGGCTGTCCAAGTGCACATGATTGGAGTCTTTGGAACTAATTCTGATCCTACATACACCATTAGTTCAGCGGAATTGCACGTATGTATACAAGATCAGAAACAGGTCATTAGGTTTCAGTCCTGCTCCTGTTGAATTCAGGGGGCCATTGATATGATGACAGCTGGGTGGGCCCTGAATATCAGTATAATATGTTACATATAACTGATGTCTTAAACCAAGAAATTCACACACACAAGGCCACATGACAGTTTGGCATTTGTTCTTCTATAAAAAATAACAGTGCTCCTCTTGTGCTCTCATTTGGCTATAACAACAAGTAGGGAGCCAAAGGGAAAGTGCACAGCTACAATTAGTCTACTTAATATTGCACAACTATACATTACAGGATTTTTCTTTTCACCCTCTGATGAGAATGACTGATTTTTAAATATGGTGACTTTCCTGTTCTGGTGTAGTTTTGTAGTAAAATAAAATATTTTAAGAGGATTATTCTGGATTCTCTAAATATTAATAGTTATAATTAAGTTTTGTTCTCTGTGTTTACTTTATACTTTTTTTGGCTCTTCCAAGCAGATGGGGACCTGATGGTTTGTCTCTTGACCCACACTCTCCAATGCCCAATGTCATGGCCACCATCTTTCCAGTTGAGGAGGATTAGTTGCAATTCCTTTTGGAGGACATCAGTCTTGCACCTCAACTGGCTGGAGGAACTGTTGTGAAATAGTAGTAGTCTTACTATTATTTATTATTTGCATTACCATAGCACCTAGATGCCCTAGTCATGGACCAGAACTCTATTGTGGTACTGTACAAACAGAACAAAAAGATGCTCCCTGCCCCAGAGAAATTACAGTCTAAGTATAGGACAGTACACAACAGATGGACCCAGACAGACCAATGGGTCAGTAGAAGGTAACAATGAGACAATATTGGTTAGCAAGAGAGGCAGTGGTCTCAGCACACCAGCACCCTAATCATTGTCAGGTGTTTTGTAGGCATCACAGAAAATAAGAGTTTTAAGAACATAAGAACGGCCATATTTAGTCAGACCAAAGGTCCATCTAGCCCAGTATCCTGTCTTTCGACAGTGGCCAATGCCAGGTGCTTCAGAGGGAATGAACAAAACAGGTAATTATCAAGTGATCCATTCGCAGCTTCTGGCGAACAGAGGCCAGGGACACCTCGAAGGGATTTGAAGGATGATAACACTGTAGTCTTTATGGACTACAGCACAAATGTGGTCCAATGATTTTAACACCTTTCAAAGGACAATAACAGATCTAATATTGGTCATGTGCTCTTTTTTTTTGTTTGTCAAATGAACCATGGGTACCCCTACAACAGGGATTACATCTAGGGAGTTATTTATTACAACAAAGTGTCATGCCAACTGCTGCACCTCAGTGTTAAATCACTAAATATTCAACATGAGTATCTTGTATTTACTAGAAGCAGATATTTCAGTCCACAAGGTGAAGTTTAACTGTAGGTCATTTTTGCAGGTTTGCCTCATTTTTCATGAAAGTCATTTGTTGCTAAGAAGAAGACGTTTAATCCCACACCTGCACTTACTTGGCAGTGGGGGAAGGCGGGGGTTGTGGTCGGTTATTGGTTGTTTTAAGGGATACACTGCTGCTCTGAATGTGAGATTGCTGTGAGACCATCAGATAATCTAGAGTATTTTGGTAAAATGACAGTTCAGAAGAGTGGAGCAGCTCAGTCCCATGCTGACTTGATACATGGGCCATGTCTTCACTGCCAAAAAAGGTGGGGGGTTTTACAGTGGGATAATGAACATGCATTAGTTATGTCACTGTAAAATCCTAGAGGTTCTGTAGTTTTTACCTCTATGTAGCTAGGTGAGGTCAACCGTAGGCAAGGGGTATAGTGTTGACCTTGCCTAGCTACAGCATGGTAAAAGCTAATTGCAAGTTGTCTCCACTAGGGTTTTGCTAACACACCTTAGTTATCCTGCTGTAAAAAAAAAAACCACCACCACCTGTTTTGGGCAGTGAAAACATGGCCTTGGGAACAAATCCTGTTTGCCTGACTAACATCAGCTACTAATTTCAGTGATGCTCTGCATATGAGAAAAAGGAGCAGGAGTTGGCCCTTAAATTGGACACATTAGTTAGCATCCAGCAGTTAATCTCAGGTCAGTTTGGCATCCATGTGACGCTGTTGACTTCAATAGAGCTGTCAAGGCTGATTCCCCACACTGGCACTTTTACCTGTGGCCTTTTTAACCCTTTACAGGTAAAGCAAGCACAGAACAGCTACCAAGAGGGATTTTATAGCCAACTGGCTGGGTGGGTGTCCATAAAAGGGAGCTACCTCCTCTCTTCATTTATCACAAGAGCTATTCCTGCTTTGCACTAGTATTAGTGAGGAGAATCAGACCCCTGATATTTTCCAAATGCCATCTAATCCAACTGCCCCAACAGCACAGTTTGTGCTGTGTTTA